GGCTGAGGATAAAAACTGGTTAACTTAATCCATTGGATAAGAGAAGGTACAAGGGAATGCATCAAGAGCACAGATGTCGGAATTAGCCTAAGACCACGAGAAGATATATTCAAGTTCAGCTCAGAGGGTAATAAAAAAGCCACACATTAGTTCAAAATTTTCTAAACATTTCTCATTTGTAAAATTAAACACAAATGTTTCAGTCTATTCAACTTTATATGTATTCAAATATAAATTTAAAAATGCAATACCTTTATAAGATATTCAATTACAAAAAATGTTTTGATTATAAACAATTCATAAAAGGTAAGTTGAAACTGAAATACATTTAACTTGTTAATGATCTTTTAATTTGATACAGCTCTTTGAAAATGCTTGATGGCATATATCAAAATTCATAAATATCCACAATAATCGTATTTCTTGTAATGTAACCCAAGGAAACATTGTAAATATAGGAAGAAACTTATATGCATAAAGAAACTCAATAGACTGCTACATCTAATAGTGAAACATTTAAATAAATCATATGCTAGCATAATATGCAATTGTTGGCATCATATACAATTAATGTGAAAATTATAGATACAGATTACATAAAACTGTGTGAAAATTTTTAAACATGTACATGATTGCTATATTGTTTTAAATTCATTAAAATGAGAGAAAATATTAAAATCATAAGAGATAGGGTTGCATTAGAAAAAAGAAAAGGAGTTATTTTTACTTTTATCTATTCCAAATTTCTTTATTATGAAAAAAGCAAAAGATAACATTTTAAAAACTTGTAAAGACAGTATTTAAGAAAATTTCAACAACCTGAACCACTCAGTTACAATTACTTCCCATAATTATCTTTATTTCCAACCAACTTGTTAATTTTTTTTTTTTTTTTTTTTTTTTTTTTTTTTTTTAGGGATCAAACTCAGGACCTTGTGCTTGCCAAGCAAGTATTGTGCCACTGAGCTAAATCCCTAGCCCTTGTCTCCTCATTTTCACTTGTTCCCCAATAGCTTTGCAAAAGCTACTATCCCAAATTGGGATGTTCTCTCCCTCCTATTTGCTTTCCTAAATCTCAATCTTCAAAATCCTGCATATGTCTAATTTTCTAAAGCTTTCTAACCCTCCTAGCCACAATAACCTCCCACTCTGTGAACATGTATAGCATTTGTCTGTAGCATTTACTTGGCACTTTGGGGTTACTCCTGTTGGCAATATTCCTGTACAGAGTAAAGCGTTAGAGTGGTATGGGACATGTCCTCTATTTTCTCTACCCAAACAGACAATTTTTCTGTCTAGAGAAAAGAAATATAATATCTGCCCTGGCACTCTAAGCTCCAGCAGATATATTTCTCAATCATAAAAATTGTATCCTTTGGAAGGATTAGCAAAACAAAATAAAAGGGAAAAATCTAAAAATGAGTAGAAGATTCAAATGTGCTCCTACACTGGCTTTAAATGTTTATTTCTACAAAAAAGTGAATATTCTATAAGAAATGGAATATTCATAAATTATCTAAAACCCTGAGAGCCTATCAGCATCCATAATTTAATAATTAAAATGAAAATATAATTTAAAGATGAAATTGCTTCAATGTGAGGATAAAAGAATGACAAACAAGAGACTTAATAGGCATCAAAGATGACAATATGAAAGAAATAAGAATTAGAAATGTGAGTTTTTCATATATTGAAAGAGGTAAACTAGGAATGACTCCCCTACCAACAAAATCAAAAATAATTTAAACTAAACAGAATATTAGAATGGATTTTATATATCTGGCTAAATAAGGATATTTCAGTGATGTTACTGTTTGCAATGAAAAGTTGGTAGAGTGTCCTCCACCTCATTCCAGGTTTCCTTTCAATATAATGAAAAGACAATATCAAATATGCTGAATATATATATATAAAATAGCTATATATATATATATAAATTAGCTTATGTATATATATAAGCTATATATATAAAGTAGCATATATATATATATATATATAAGCTAGCTACTTCAAAATCTTATATATTTTCTACTGTACAATTTTAATTACAGGCAGAAATCACTAGTGAATGCTGTACTGAATTTAATGTACTTTCTTTTACATATGCATATTTGTACTTTTTAAACTAAGATTTTTTTACAGTCAATACATTAGAAATTTACACTTTACATGTTTTTTAAAATTCATATTAGCCTGCCATGTAATCACTGCTGGGCATAGTATGTTTGTTTTTTAAAACAGAATTACTACTTTTATGAAAGTAAATTAATCACTTTCAAATCTATTGAAAGTGGAGCCTAAATTAAGATCCAGAAACATAAGCCCAGTTGTAGGCTTCAAAATTCAACATTCTTAAAGGAATTATCACTAACTTGACTACTGTAATAATGTGACATGGCTAAAGAAAAAATAATCTGTTATCTATGGAAACTTCAAAAAATAGAAATCTTATTGTCTAATTCATTTACTAAATAAAACATAACTTCACCAAATTGAATAATATGCAATTTATATTACAAGTATAGTTTAATAAACCTAAGTAATGGGTACCAGAATTGGAAGGAACATTTTTGTCTCTGTGTATTTGGTCAACTATCTACTACTCCATAATGACTGAGTAGTAGTCATCTACTGTATGTATGTCAAAATATAATTAAATCCAACATCTTTCCTCTGCTAACAAACCTAAATCCAAACTGGAATACTCAAGATTACAGACCATGATTTTTAAAATAACAATTTTAAATTGTCTCTTTATTACTTTGCTGTATTTGACAAATACACAGTCCTATATTCTGGAATCCTTCTGGGAACAAAACAGTCAAAAATTACCTCAACTCTACATTGAAGACAATGAAAGAGAAAAGACCACACTAATATCTTAGTATAATCAAAAGTACCCAGTAAATACTGTCAAATATAAGGATAAAGTGAAAAATAGCCCATGCTTTTGGAGAAGTAACCTACTACATAATTTTAACACTTCTGGTCTATGCAAGCTAAAAGGAAGAAAAAACCCTCAAAAGACCTGGGTTAAAATGACATTTTTGGTGAGAGAGGGAGGGGAAGGGACTTAACCTTTGTAACATATTGTTTTCACTTCAGAATAATCTCAAAAACCATAGTAGAAGAAGAAAAACTCAAAACTATTTAATATACCAAAGAATAAGGAGCACCTAGTCTGGTTACTTCAGCTTTTAAATTCCAGGTTACCAATATCTCTCAGACAGCTACATATTCCGCAAATATGTATAATTACTATAGTTTTTTTTATCTGAGTTTAGGTGCAGAAAACAAATTATTATTAAAATAACCAGAACTGTCTAAGTAATTGATCTTTACACAAAACACTTGGGTGTACAGACCTCACTGAGAACGATTTAGCAAAGAAAAGATGAAGATAAGCTATTAAATACTATCTGTTCTCAGTAAGACAACTCAAATTCCTAATGTGGTGTGGTATTATTGGAAATTATATTCTACTTTTATCTTTTGGAATTTTTTAAGCAAACTGTTTAACCTAATTATATAATTCCAAAAATTTCAATTAATAAAAAGCTTTGTGAGGAAATGATTTTTTAAATCACAAAAAGTCAAAAGACAAGATGTTCAAGACTTCTGACAGTAACTAAGAAAGAACACAACCAGGGAATGAATGGCTTTATCAAGGTGGGCAAAGTCCAGAATGGCAGAATCCCTTCTCTGCTGTAATGAATGTACTATCCTGGGTGCATAGTAAAACAGAAAAGAAAAGCCTCACATAGAAAGCTGAATGGCCCAAAGAAACCCTAAGTGGTGATAAGAGCCTAAAGGCACATGCAGGTACGCATCTTTTATATTGGATGTGATACACTTACATGGCCCCTGTTGAATCTCTTGGGGACCAACAGTAAAGCAAGTTTAGAACTTCAAATCTTGAGACATCTATAGCAAGATGCTGATCCAATGTGGCTCCAAATATCTTCTGTTTTCCTGGCTCACCTGAAGAGGAAAAAACACTACAGAGGATGTGGGAACTGAATTTCTTTATGTAGTTTCTTCTAGAGCAACTGTCTGAAAGTTTTGGCCCACTCCTTTATGAAGTCTGGAGATGAAACATTTGAAGGACTAGTGAAAAACAAATTCAAATGAAAAGGTGGAGTGAGACATCTAAAAGGGAACAGGAGAGTAAGCTCAGGTAAAACGGTGTTTCTAATCCTTAGGTGGGAGGAGGCAGAGAAAGGAGAGGGGAAAAAAAATGCACAGATGTTTCTCCCTCCACTCCCTCACCCCAACTGTTACTAAAACTTCATTAAGCACCTAAACTTTTGACCACAATTAGGGAATGAATAAGCAATATTACAGGGAAGGTTTAGCATTTTGTCAAGTCTCCCTCCCTAGCTATATGGCATTATTAAGCTGGAGGGAGGCCTTTCAGATAATACCTTTTTCCTAAGAAAAGCTTATAGTGGAATTCAGCTTGCAACAAAAAGAAAGAGAAAAATAAATTGAGTTTATACAAAAATGAAAGTCACAGGACAATTTACCATATTGACAATGTTTATCTAATTCTATTTTCCAAAAGGGATGGGACAGATTTCATAAAATAAATCAGAACCAAAAAAAAAAGAAAAAGTTGTTTCCAAATAGAAAATATTTTAACTAAGCAACAAACTGCATATTCTACCCTTCTACAAGGTATTATCCCTAAAAAGATAATTTCTAAGAAACTATGATTAGCAGAACCAAGTCTGATGTATATTACAACACAAAAAGTATGAAATTATAGTTCATTTTAATTATTTATTTTAAATTAACTTTTTAAATTTGTCCTCAAAACATTTTACCTAAATTTTATAATACTTATTCTTCAGGATTTATGTAATAGTCTAGGATATAAAACAATTTTCTTTCCAAATACATTCCACTTTAAACAGAATACACTTGAACTCTGTCTGGTAAAAAAATACTACACCAGAATTTTCTGAAAAGTAAGATTGGAGAATGAATTAGATCCTTACCTGACGTGGTTGTTCATTCATTCGTTGTGGGTCTGATTTCACTTTATTACTAGGATGGTTTGTGACTTTAGTCACTGGTTGTTTGAAAATTGATGCTGTTTGTCTAATTGGCAATGTTGTATTCAAGTCTGGTTTACCCTATAAACATAAGTATTTCATTAGTATTATATGTAAACATAACTTGATGAATTTTTAATTCAATATTTATCACTTTAAATGAGATTATTCAAAATTCTCAGTCTAACACAGCATTTTAAATACTTTAGAAGTACATTTTAAGCACATCAGGTAAGACATGCAGAAATATTTGTAAATGTAGAGTATTTGTAAAAGATGTATATGAAACAGGAATGTTATATGGGGATAGCTAGGACCTCACTGCCACATGAAATATCTTATCAGATATATGCAGACATTCTAAAAAGAAAAATGCAAGACACTCCTGGTCACAAGCATTTTGGACAAATAAATAACCTGTATTTGTCATTTTATATCACATATAGTGTTTTTACAGAAATTTAAGCTTCAGTAAGCCATGTAACACATTTACCAAGTTTTAATCAACCAGTAAAATGTAAGATACATTCTAGAGAGATCAAAGGGTGGCATAGAATTGCTTTTAAATTCATTTGCAATATCTTAACAAAAAGAAAAGGAAGAAAACCCAACTTCATCACTGTGTGCTTGGATTCTGGCAAAAAAAAAAAAAAAA